ATTTCTGCAAAAAGACCGTGTACTTGACAGAGACCACAGTTTTCCTAAACAGCGTATTCAAAACCTCTATGACCTATGTTTCCTTCCAAATAAATTCATCAACATTTCGACCAAACCTTAACGAGCTTCAGAGCCAGGGCCCAGCACGAGTCGATTTCTAGGGTTTCTGAGAACGAAGTCCTCCCCTGACTTTCAGAAATTTTACAAAGTCCCCTTTGACCTACCTACTTAGGAGAAGGTGAAAACGAAAGAGGTTCACCAATCTGAAACAAAAAACGTGAAATAAGTGTGAAAATCAGATTAGAGCTGAATACTACGCATGCACAAGAGTTTGGCATTGAAGCACGATGTTTAACAAAGCGATTCATGGAGAAATTAAGGTAAAAAACAAAGGAAAGGCAATGATATGAAAATGTCTTCATGCTCAGGGATAGATTTTTGACCGATAAAGCCGTCCTTGATAGAAAAATCTAAAACTTATTTGAAGTGACGAAAATATATGCTTCAGACGATTTCAAATCGTATCTCAGATCGTCTGGTGGCCGTCTGGAGACGATCTAAATTTGGAAAAGGTATTCCTTCACATAAGTTTTCAAAACTTTTTGCATAATCCTTCCTCAAATAATTTTCTATGCATACAGTCCAATTTTGGTGACATATGATTCTGTGTGCGCTGTAAACAAGCAAGTTGTTTATTTTAGCCTTGCTTTCAAATCGCGCGCACTTTCCGCCATACACGATAGAGCATGTCAATCGTGCGATAGCCTCTCCGAAAAGCTTGTGTTCGACTAAATGGCGCTTATTCTTAATGTTCGGCACCGATTCGTCAAAAACGACGTCTCCTTTGCTTTTTGCTCTAAAGACGATGTCCAGCCTGCTTCCAGACGATCTGCGCCGGGCCCTGTTCAGAGCGCGAAACGAGAAAAATCAAATAGCCCGAACTTCTCTGAAAACTTGCTCATAAAAGTTATCTGACCTGCTAAATACGACACTTATATCTGCTTAGCAAGACAGCTTCGTATTCCAGGGTTATGACGAGTAAAATGTGGGACGACAAAATTTTCCAAATTCACCAGCCCTTCTATCTCCTTTGGAAAGAAGCCTGCGGCTACTTTTTGGCGCTCCATTATCTAAAAAAGAAGTACTACTGAACGCTCCTTGCTGGTGTCTATAGGTGCAATGCGCGTTGCTTTACACCTTTGCGAAGAGACGTCCGCAAAAAAAACCAAAAATACTGAAATCGGATATTATGGGTATGCTGTGCATCGAAACATTCGCCTTAATGAACTGAGCACAATGCTTTTTTCTGTTTTAGAATATACTCATTCCAAAGGAAGTTACGTCGAGTAGAATTTAAAAACACGTGATCTTCCCAAAATTCACCAACGCTTTCATCTCTTTTCCTCTCTCTCTCTTTTCGTACTCTGCGGCTACTTTCTAGCGCACACTATTACCCACAAGAACAGTACTATCGAAAAGTGCTTATTGGAATTTTTTTATGTTAGATAGGCGCACATCCTTGCAAAGAGACCTCCACAAAAGAATTCAAGAAAAATGGAAAGGCAATTTTGAGGGCATGCTGCATATCAAAAAATTTTCCTTGACGAGCTAGACCCATTGCTCTTTTCGGATTCAGAATATATTCATTCAGAAGGAATTTATGACGCTGCGTAGTTTGCGTGATTCCCGTGATTCTGCGGAATCCATGGAATATCATGGAATTCCAGGAATGTCGCTTTCGCAGAATCCCGGTACTCTGCAACGTTTAAGGGAATTTCGCGCATTCTGTAAGCGGTATTATACGTTGAGCTAATTTTATAACAAATCCATCGAGTGACTCTCATCCATAATCCTACAATATGCTGACTCTTTACCATACTCCTACAATTCTTCTATGTGTCATCAGCAGAAATTGATGGCAATATTGTTATCAGCACACTGAACAGTCCAATCTAACAAAAATCTGCAAAAGTGAGCGAAAACTTACTGTCTACCGTATACCTACCTTGCAGATTGTGGCAGCTACATACTAAGTGATGCGTCTCGCCGACTGGCTCGTGTCCTTGGATTATTACGTCCATTCTGAAGCGATATATGATGATGCGACGTAGATCCCGGCGCACTCTATTGACGTGCGGCGCACTCCGCTGCTCTCCAGCTCACTCTAGCGTACCCGGCGCACTGTAGTAGCGCTGTGGCGCACTCCGCTAAAGTGCGGCACTCTTTTGAGAATTATGGGCGGTATTGTATTGCAGAGGTCGCATTTTCCTAAGTATAAGTTTGTGAGCATTACAACCATTAGTACAGAGTGCCATTATAGTATTTACATGCACAGAAGAAAACAAATGCACCTGCATTTGAAAAACATTGCCAAGCCAGAGTTACCTTTACATATCGCATTCGCTTGATTGACAATTTACAGAAGTTTTGTAGCAGCACAACAAATTCATCGTATCTTTTTATGAACTTTATCTTCTAGCTGAATTGGATTCACTTTCTTCCTTCTAAAGTATACAAATGGTAGCATTAGGTCGTTCCACAAATTCGTACCGTTTTTATTTTCGTACTCATATCTTTGAGAATCGGTTGATTTGCGGCGGAATGCATATATCATTTGGAAGGGCTGATTGTGCTATTTGAAATACATCTACTGATTTTGGTAGAAAGCTGATTCACTCGGATCTCGCAGCTTCCAAAGATGGAAATCTTAAAAGGCAAAAAGGAGCAATTTCGACATTTGCGCCTTTTTCGTTATGAAAAGAAGCGTTTTTGCACAGATTTTTGTGTCGATTATGTAACATGGCGTTTGTTCATCAATATAAGACAAAAAAGAATTGGATTGATACAAAAGAGCAGGAGCTGAGCAGGATGTCCCTGAACAAGACTCGGGGGACGGGCAGGATGTCCTGCACTGAAAATTGCTGGACAAGTAGGCGACGGTCAACGACGGTTAAACCAGGTCCTACCGCAGAAAAAGCCTAACAGACAGATCCAGTGAGTTTTTCTGCATGACGCATGGCCTCATACGGCAAACGTCGTCAAAACTCTCCTGTACAATTCGACTGGAAGGTAATATCTGCTCCAAGACGAAGGCGGTCGCCCAAATAGGTTGAAAACATGCAAAGCTGCGGCGCGCGCGCAATTGTCAACCACAGGGCGCGCGCACGCTCGGTCACCGGTCATTCACGCGAGCGTGCGCGCGACCCGTGGTTGACAATTGCCCGCACGCCGCGTGCGCGTTAGTCTTGCATGCTGTCAACCTATTTGGGCGACCGCCTTCGTCATAGAGGAGATATTACTTCAGTACCCAAAAACTCTCCAAACTCGCTCTATTAGATTATCATTTGCTGCGCTCTCTGGCAAACCTCATGAATTGTGCATGTCTCGATTTCAGTAAACAACTTGGACGCTGGTTAGATGACTTTTTGGGACCCGGCGCGCTGCCGTTTGAAAAATTGAGGTTAAGAAGCTAACAAGAATGTGCCAAAAGGTTGTGCGCTACAACCAGGAATATAATTTTGAGTGATTTTTACTGTAAATTGATGATTTTGTTGGTTTATAAAAACGCCACGAACTTATGGAACGATCTAATACATTATCTTATATTAGGTTGATTCATAATCAATGCACGTTTTCTACACTTCAACTTCTAGCCGAGATAATTCTTTTTTGAAAAGACATTTCTGGGCGCAATAAAACTACTGTAACCAACAAATTAGTGGCTATAAAACAAATGCTTTTGCGTGACTGTATCTATCAGAAGAAAGATTTTCTGGTCTGAAGATTGCCAACAACTTTTTTCAGAAGCCTCCATTTTGAGAGAGCAGGATTTATGCCGAAATGAAGTAGGATAAAGCAGTTTCCACTCTTCATGTAGCCAAGGGTCTCTTGAGCATTAATGCCAAGTTTGGATTTAACGGAAAATTTTTGAAAGAAAATATCGCGAAAAAGTCAAAAGTACTCACTTTTTTCTGGCATCTCGGAGGGTTTAAAACTCGGTCATTTTCGAAATTATTTCATTTTTCTCCGCTGGAAAGTGAGAAAACCCTAGCGCTTTTTTACCATGAAATGAACTAGGTCTATCCTTGCTGGATAGTGCAAAAGACCTGCAATCGCCTTTTGCTTCAAAGTTTTATATGGCACGGAAGGGCCGCGACGATCATTCAAGTTCGCAATTGAATTTCTTGGCTCAGAATTCATGAAGAATTTTGTTCAAATAGCATCTTGTAGCACAGAGTTTTCTAATCCTTATGCATATTTTTTGAAATTAATCCAGCTATTCCTCATGGATTTAGGGCAAAAAGAATGAAAAGCAAAAATTTTGGGAGTTAGTCTCTATTATTTAAAGGCTCAGAACTTTGAAATGAACGGAGATTTACGAAAGCGAAGGACCGCATAAGAAACTAGAAAAAACGCTCTTTTAGAAAGCATGAAAGGTTCCTGAGGAAACTGATTACACCTCAAATACCAGCACCTGGAAGAAGAGGTGAGAAAAACGTGCATTAATTATGAATCAACCTAATATATAAAGCTGAATGTTTGTCTGTCTGTCTGTGTGTACGTATGTGCGGAATAGAAATTTTTAATTTTGAACCGATTTAAACCAAACTTGACACACATATACTTCGGGGCAGGGAGCGTGTTATAGGCTACTTTTCCGTCATCGATCGATATCGATTTTATCGATTTTTGTCGATTCTTTACAGAGTTCACCTGCGGGGGCTGGGAGTTGGCATAGGGGGGGTAATCGAGCATGCTGATTCCGAATTCAATATTAGTTTTTAAAATCGTCCATTGCTTTTATCGATTTTATCGATTATTTGCAAAGTTTGGACTACGGGGCTGGGAGTTGGCACAGGGGAGATTGGCGCTATTCGGCTATCCGAGCCCCAAAATTTTTTTGTCGTAGAGCTTGCTCAAACTTCGTGTATAAAAGCTATCTTAAGGGCCGGGCATACTTCAAGCGATTTCAATCAATTTATGTTCAACTGCTTTTACAGCTATGATAGTTATATTTTATAATCGAAGTTTTATAGTCATTCCAAACAAAACTTTGGGACAATCTGATATCTTTTAAGCTGGAAAATATGCACTGTAACTCAAAAACTGAGTGAGTGGCCTTATCATTTCGAAATGCTGTAACAAGAAATGCGAGATTTATTTCATGAATTTCGCGATGCATTCAGTTCCTTTGTGATGCTGAAGCACGCACTTGCCGAGCTGGAAGGATTGCACATCTTGGGTTCATCCACGAGTATACCTAAATGTAGTCATCTGATGCACCATCATTAATAACGGCTGATATCTTATCTGTTGAAATTTTTGCGTAATTCACTTTTTCGTGCGCCTAGATTATAAAGAGTAAACCAAGTGAGAAATGATGATCATGAAAGCACTTGTTCGTTTGTAGCAAATGGCGTGAGCTACAAAGACATGCCATAGACACTTCATGAATAGTTTTGATTACCTGCTAACGTGGCCGTGTACAAGGAGCATATGCACCCGGTAAGAACTGCTCTAAAGACATTCTTCGCAACCACTTGTTTCTTTGATGGCGCAAGTCCTCCTGTGTAAAAGTGTGTTCAGATGTACTCTAACGATAAGGATGACAAATGTTATGAGTACAGACTGATGGAGCGAATGTTTGTTGAGTTTACACATATGATGTACCATTCACAACGTTCAGTCTTTTGCTCTCAACGCCTTCTAGCAAAAAAAAATCGCGGGGACTTACCAATCACTTACCCATTACTCCCAACATTATACCAATGACGCTGAAGTTAGCGAAACTGCATAAAGCATATGTACCAATCATAGCGGATCGTGGCTAAAAACAATTTTCAACAAAACAGAGGATCGATAGACAGCTACTATTATCAAGGGAATATATGTAGAGTGTTGATCAAAGAAGCAATAAGTTGCCAAACACGGAAATCAACCAAAACGATATAAAAATCAAAAATGAGTTCTCATTTTTGTAGCACGACCAGTGAGCATGTAGGTCCACGCAATTTTTGTGATGTTTTCTTATAGAGTAAACACAGGTTAAGTCAAATCCGGAATTTCAAAGTGTGAATGAGACAAGCTTTTATGATGTAAGCAAATAAATACTCTTTTATTTTTCTTTGCATGGTCCTTTGAGGGTGTACAACCGTAGTGCCAGGAAGACGGCCTCTTACACAATAATAACCGACAGCTGCACTGCGCGACTTGTCTCAAAACTTAGCCACAATGCTGCAGATTTCATTCCACAGAGCTTCCTTCCCACTCTACCTGCTTAGGAAAACTCGGTGTGTTGCGATGAACTGGACCTGTATGGAGATGCCCTGACGGTATTACAACCGTGCATTGTGCCCCAAAAAGCTCTCCCATGTTGCCGGCGTCTTTGCCAAAATTAAAATTGCTGCTGTGATGCATTTCATACATATAGGCCCTAATCAAAGAAATAACAAAAAGATCAACGCACACTCAGTTTTTGTGGTCCCATGGAGAGGAATTCGCCTAATTTCTTGTAGGCAACAAATTCGTTTACGGCTATTTTTGTGCCTATGAGCCGAGCTACGTTGAGAGTCTGCTGAGTGTTCTCAGTCACACCCATTAGAAATGCCACAGGAAACAGAACGTATCCAAGTATGAGCTGAATTGGTTGATATGAGTGTAGTAGTGAATAGTACCTACTTTAACCTCCTACGGGTGGAGGACTATATGTCGCCGAATTTGGTAGAGTCCCGCGCGGATTGCCTGCAGGGACGCATGTCCGCGCATGTATAAGGGCGCGTATTTGTCGCAAATGACCACGGGGACCGCCCTTTTTCGGCGATATATAGTCCCCTACCCACCTCCTACCTCTAAACTCCATGGAGTAGAGCCTATAAGGTCTCCCAGATAGAATAGAACTGAGTCGACAAACCCTAAGAGGGCTAGCACCGTTACCAAATTTGCGCCAATTGACATCACAATATTCAGTCCAGCTACAGACCCATTCGTTATGCATTCCACTGGACTCGACTCCTCGCTAAAAAGGATGTACTCTAAACCGATGCTATCAAGAGTAGATAAAAAGTTGTCTCCACAAAATCTCCTTCATTGCCACAAATATATTCAGTGGCGTGTCGTGCCTGTGCCATCTTTGCAGATACAGGGTGCACAAAATGTCTGCTGGCACAGTTTTTTCTTTTGATAAAGACAGAATAGAAGTACGTAGAGATAATAAAATTAGTATACACTCTTTCGAACAGTATAAAATCGAACATAGCACTCAAAATAAAATTATTGGCTTTGAACCGCAGGCAAAACGCACGCTGGGAACAATCGTAGATACATGCGCGAACGAAATGGCCCGGAAAAATTTTAAAACTGTCGTTTTCTTAATTTTTTTTCAAAATTTTATAATTCGCGTTTTTTTTTCCTATATAAAATCAGATGATATCTTTCGAACATCTGCACAAGGTCTTATCCATGCGTCAAAAAAGTTTCTCCGTCGAATACTTTCCAAATTTTAACCTTACTATGCATACAGTCCCAACATGCAATTAGGCGAGGTTCTGTATTGTTTTTCATCATTATAGGATAAGTTCAAAAATCCAGTAGCGAATTTTCTGCGCTTAGTTTATATTTCTCAAACCAACGCTTAGAAAAAGCCGAAAATTCATAGCACTTCCAGAGCAAACATAGAGTTGCTTATCGTTCATATTGTGACTGAGGGACTCGAAACTCTAAACACATTGTTTGACAAGCTTGAACTTGTTATTTTCCGTTTTCAAGTAGCACAGTCCTGTATCACTTAGATTACAAGTATATGCACGATCAATCTTGTTTCGACAACAAAATATTAAAACTAGGGAAGGAAAAAGAATAGAAGTATTAGAATCTTCTGATGAAAAATACCCTTGTTTAAATCGGGAGTAAGAGTAAAAAAACATCATATTCCTGCCGGATTCTGTTCATTGACGTAATAAGTCGTTATTCTACTTAGAGGCACTGTCTCACCAAAATTTGTTTGGGGGGATCTCACCATAGCGCCCTCTAAATAGGCAATTGCAACAACTCCGGCTCGATTTGACCCTCTTTACGCTGAGAAAAACGACGTTGAAGGCAGCGCCCGGGAAAAATTGACCAACCTCAGATGTTGACTTAGGTTAGAGGGGCTCCCTCAACTAAGCCAAAACAGCAAGTCCAATTCAAAAATGTGAACTGTGAAAACCAGGTGGGTAGGCTAAGCGCCGCTCCCCTTTCCCTTTCGCTCCTCTAACACCTGTACGGACGAGCTTACAAATTACGCGAGCCACTTTCACATTGCAGCTGCAAGGTATCAGTGTCTGTAAGATACGTTTTCGTGCACCGCAACAGAATGATGTTGGAATACTCGTCCATGCTCTTCAAAAATTGGTTCCGAAATTTCGGTATTTTACGCAATTTTCAGTTCGGATTTGGAATTAGGGACGGAAAGGGCAGTAACACCAAAAATATGGAAGTTGAGATTTTGCCGGGACGCTGCCTCTAAAGTGGTTTGCATCGTGGTTTTCCCCCATACGTTGAGGGCGGCAATACCGGGAAGGTGGGCGTTGAATGGACGTATTGAAATACGCCCACTCAACATCCACCTTCCCGGATAGCTGCCATTGTGGCCGATGTTAAGAAGAGGGGCCTCCAAAAAACGGGGTTGGAGATGTTATACACCTCAACAGGAGACGACGGGGTCGGAAAGGCTTGTAAAGTATGAAAAAATCTCAGTCGTTAGTTTCTGGTGAGACAGTTTCTTTGACAACATCATGATAAGATTAAGAAATTACCCGGATGTTTTGGAAATTTCTAATCGCTCTAATTTGATGAAAACGAAAGCCATTTGCACATCTTATATATAAAGCTGAATGTCTGTTTGTATGTATGTCTATCTGTATGTCTGTCTGTGTGTACGTATGTTCCTAATAGAAAATTCCATTTCTGAACCGATCCGGACCAAACTTGGCACCACATACACTTCGGGCCCCGGCGCGTGTCATAGGCTACTTTTCGTATCGATCGATATCGATTTTATCGATTTCTTGCAAAATTTGAGCTACGGGGCTGGGAGTTGGCACAGGGGGTAAGTGAGCATGGGGATTCCGAATACAATATTAGTTTTCAAAATCGTGCATTACTTTTATCGATTTTATCGATTTTTTGCAAAGTTTGAGCTACGGGGCTGGGATTTGGCACAGGGGGGTAATCGAGCATGTTGATCATCCCCGTGGGGGTGATCAGCATGCTCGATTACATCCCCTGCCAAATTCCAGCCCCCTAGCTCAAACTTTGCAAAAAAATCGATAAAATCGACATCAATCGATAACGAAAAGTGGACTGTGACACCCGCCGGGGCCCGAAGGACATGTGTGCCAAGTTTGGTCCGGATCGGTTAAGAAATGGAATTTTCTATTCGGAACATACGGCGGAGCCGGGTAAGCCAGCTAGTTCCATATAAAGCCACGGGCAGAGTTCATGCGATTTGATCGTTGCGATTCAATCGCTGCAAGACAAGTGTTGCAAGTTCACTGCATGCAATCTTTTTGTATCTCGGTTGTGATAGTTAGTCAGGAATAGTCATGGTAGAAAATTCTCACAACCGAAATGCAAGAAGATCGGTATGATGAAATTGTTACAGTTGTCTTGTCGCGATCAATAGCGACGACCGACGACATGAACTCTGCCCGAGGCTCAAAGCGACTTAGTCATTTCTAATTACCATCATTTGAGCACCAAGTTAAAAACGTCATGTTCGTCTACTATACAGAGTAACAGGCTTGTCGGTTTGGGTCATATTCTTACGATACTTTCTTAAGATACTTGCCTATCAGTCAAATTAACACGACTAAGGCACAATTTCTAGTTGCATTTTGAGGAGTTTATTTTTTGTACCATCTGTGCGCAGCAGTGCAATAATAGAAATATTCGGATAGCGCTGCCGGAAATAATAGGAACAGCCGATATGTTACCTTTCTGCGAGCTTTAGATCTTTCGTGCTCCTGACTTGGCTCTCTTCCACCTCTGGATACATTATTTTAGAGCATGCAAGAGATCCTGGAGCCGACATGATTGATGACGAAAGCAAGTATCTGGAATAGTCAAAGATTCAAGCAAAACGATGGAGGGTGATTTCATAAACAGACTTACTCTGGACAGGCTCCGAACGACACGTAGGCCGCAAACAGCGAACCAGCAATACATGAGAGGCCACTCGTCATAATAGCATGCAATTCGGAGGCCGTTTGCCTTTCCAAATATGGTTTGATCAACACTGCACTTTCAGTCTATAATGAATCTGCTTTGCTTGGCACCCGAACTTGAATAGCTGAAGACAAAGAGAATCGTTTGGTTTTTTTGGTTACGTGGCGTGAATAGGTTCAATGTCGAGTCATTTGTGGCGTAATATGAGTACTGCACACCATGCGCGCTATTAGACGACTTGTAAAAATCTGCTCATTTCGATGAATTATCCTAGTGTCCTTGTGATTTGTTTGGATATGTAATAGTTAGCAGCACACATTTCTACTGATGTTACGCTAGAAAAGGCTTTGCTAGAGAGTCACTAGTACGGGTATCGTCGCTTGCATTAAGTTAGAATATTAGGTTGGCTAAATAAGAGATTTCGTTTTGCCGGGCAACTTCGAAGCTCCATACAAACCCAAGTACTTGTTTAGCAGTGGTTTTTTGTGAGCGGATAGCTTCAAGCTACTATCATATACTCGTTATATAGACTTCCCGAATGTGACCAAAGACAGTTACGGCCTTATATAGCTAGCCTAAAAAAGAATCACTTTTTTGACTGAAATTTCGTACTCGTTTTGTAGTAAGTTCACAGACGAGTGATTTGGTAGCTGAATACATACAACCTTTGGCTACATGTCAAAGTGAAGCCTGTGATCTGTTGTTTCTGTATTTCTGCAGCCAGAATTGTGAAAATTTTCAGGTATCTGTGCATGGAAGTGTCAGTTTTGGAGCAATTTGAATCGCTTGAATTTGACCATATATGGTCTGCAAATGGTTGACTATATCAGATTCGTAAGTGTGCGTACCATTCGTGCACTTTGCACCCGATTTTAGTTCGTTTTTTGAGGCACGACTATTCGGAAATTTGATGAAAAATCTGGCCTTTTGCTTTCCTGCACCATTTCGTTATCAAAAAAAAATTTCTAGCAGACAAAAGTGACCTTTTGATTCTCCTTTATTCACTCTTTCGTATAATAGTACCGTACATTCATACGCAAATCTATCTGTGACATTTCTGCAAACCTTTAAAAATGAGCTGAATTATTTCTTAGCTACCCTAATAATTCGAGGATAAATTAGAGATCATTTTACCATTCACTGCTAAAACTTGCCACATTGACTATTATTTCAAATTCACCAAAACTTTTATTGAAGGGGTTCTCGACGATGATTATAAAGCATGATTTTAACGATAGCTAAGAACTTTATGGAATTGACCATAATTTTGTAGCTATAGCTGGCTTCTAACCATTACTAATGCGAAGCAATTTCGCTGCTAACAATGTATTGTTCAGCCTCTCAAGTTATTTCCGGTGATGTCTAACATCAACATCAATTCTAATCTGAATATACACAATTACCTGACCGAGAATCACGCACGCACATGCATTAAGTGACTCTACCGCTGTAGTACCCAAAATGACTTCCATACAGCTTGCCATTTTTCCAAGAACCCATTGAATGATGCCGTAGTAATAGAGCAAGCTGACTATGGCAGAAAAGAACACTAATACTTGCATCGCCTATAACGAGGCTCTCGTGGAATTTGCATCATATTCAGACTCCTATGCTGATGAAAGCTACCGAAAATAGAAACACGGGAGCCATTTCGCAGATTGGTGGTGGATTTGCCAAAAATCCATACACGAATTCTGATCCTGAAAAGATCTAATGTTCACTATTCGACATTTCTCTGACAGAGATGTCAAAAGATAGCTAATTCAGTCTGCTGCAACAAAATTGTACTCGAACATATTTGTTGCTTCCGACGTCGGCGTTACGCCTTCTTCAGAACCGCATAGTGATTCAATTTTTTCAATCAAACATCAAAATCGTACATTTGACTTATCTATGGTGGCCGTGGCAAGTTCTCAGGTTGACACCAATTCACCAATGTTCACCAAAACTCAGCTGAATTAGCTGGTATTTCTGATTGCAATGTGTGTCAATAGGCTGCCAAAGAAATTGAAATTATTGGGCATTCAAAAAATCGTGACGATAGCGCGATCGCACGCGGCATGCACGCACTTACAACAATCGCATTTTCTTGGTTTTCATCCCTATTCAAATGGTTTTCCGCTTACTTATGATACTATTTAGACACTAGAAGTGACTGAGCTGAGACTGAGGTGATGTCTTTATGAATGACGGTATTACGGCTTTGTGGGCGCAAAGGCCGCAGTCAAATCCGTCGTCACGATTTTATGAATGAACTATAGGTAGTATGCCACTATAGCTCAAAGAAGCAAGAAAAGCCTCAGATTATTCGCTACGGTTACGAGCAAAGAAAGGCGCTTTGAGCCATAATACGCTCTTTTATTATTGACACCATGTATTCGATTTTAAAATCCGCTCGTGATCTTTGTTCTAGGTTCCTCTAGTAAACTTATTCTGCTGGCTTTAATTAACCAGACATTCATTTATACGTGCATTGAGGTACCCTCTATTTCACTGAAAGCGGTGGGTGAAGGATGGAGTTCGATCGCTAAGTAAGCCTGAGAGAGAGCACCCTCGCGAGAGAGATGCGGAGCCCAAAAAGCCGGGTAGCCCGAATGGAAGCTCAGGAGACTGTTTTGAGTGCGAAGTAGCATAAAAGTTGGAGCGCACTTGTCATCTCATTTACATGAAAGAAATTCGCACCTACTAAGTGTACGTGTAAACTAATATCCGCTTGTTAAGAGACGGTAGAGCCTTTTGTGTCCATGTCCACTAGAAAAACATATTCAGAAGGGAAAATCACACTGGAGAAGATTTTGAAATTTATTGCATGCGTTAAATAACAGAACTGCAAGATCGGCTCCAAAAGCGCACCCTTTATTCTTGCTCGCAATCCCAACGATAACAAGAAGCAGATGTAGCAAATGATCTAAGGCTTTTCCCACCATTTTGCGAGCTATAGCGGCCTACTTAAGATTTTCCACATCCGTAGGACAGCTTGGGATCTTATTGTTGTTTTCATATACAACAAAAAGCGTCAGCAAGCTGTGCTTGAAAATACTTTTAGTTGATGTCAAATTGATACCTTGCCACGAATCAATAGACATGTCAATGCACGAGATGGAGTAAGCATCTGGTGGCTCAGAGCGTTCAAATGATAAAATTCAATCACTTTCAAGACTCTGAAGGCGCAACGCCGAACTGAGCACGATAGAGATATCTACTATGAAGACGGCGTAACGCGGAAACCCACAGACACACTAAAGGCACCGTCCACCCAAATTCTCGACTTCCAGGTTTTTGTTTCAGGGTTTTCTCATGTTCCTGATTTCGATGAGGTCGAGAAAAAGCGAAAACCCCGACAATACCCGTTTTGGAGAGCCCGCAGGCCGGCTTCCCGGAACTGACTGGACGTGCACGGATGGGTGGGCATGGATGGGGAGGGCGGTGCTTTCTGGAGGTCCTCGTGCATCTTCGTTATGCCAAAGCGATTTTCTTGCTTCCGAGGCGATATTTTGCACCCCGACTTGGGCATTGGCTTGATAGGGGGCCCTTCTATCATAAGCTGCCAAAAGCTTAAGACCCTTAAAGGCAGCGGCTCGGCAGATTCTCGATTTAAAGTTTTTTTGCTTACCTGGAGTAATTCGAAGCGCTCATTCCGAAAATCCGCCTTGAAGAGTGCAAAATTAGCAAAACCACTATTTTCCAAGGCCTCCCACTTTGAATTTGGACGAGTGGAGCACATCCCGCCATAGTTAGAGAGACAGAATCGTTGCGGGAATCTCTCAGTTATAATCTGCGGCATGCCTTCTCTGACGGGTCAGAAAGAATCGCAAGCTCGTCCGCCCCTATTAGAATGGCTTGCGCGTAATGGGGTTTTCTAGGCAAGAGCAACATGCTGTGCGCTCGGACCTGCTCTGTTCTCATGTTTGGGCTGCAAGCAACCTTCCATGTCAAAATTTCGGGATGTTTGGTTTTTGCGAGCTGCTGCCTTTAACTTAGGGTGGACGGTGCCTTCAAAGGCGTTCCAGTGCAAACCTGCTACGTATTGATTCAACAATAGTTATAAGTCATGCCAAAGTTTCGAGACAAGCGAAGTCATCTTGTCAGTTATGTTGTAGAGGATTTCTCTACTTTTCGTACTTGCGTAACCTGATGTCATTAACCTCCTAGGGCGTGGGCATACTTCATGCGATTCCAGCCGCGATGCGATTTGGCAATAATCCAACTGTGCATAACCCATCGTATGTTGTTTCTGAATGTGCGGAAGATGAGGCGATATCAACCTACGAATATTACACATCTATGTATTTTAAGTCTACCAGAATCTAATTTGAAGACATTTGGTGAATCGCCAGGTCGCGTGGCGACTGAATTCGAGATACGTCCACGGCCCTACGGGTAGGGGACGATATGTCGCCGATAGGCTTTATGTGGACAGCTAGTACACAAGTGTTGCTTATATGTGTAGAGCTGGATGGTCCGTCGCACAGTTCCACACTTTCTGCGACATATCGTCCTTTGCCCGCTTTTTCCTCTACAAGGCTTCGCGATATTACCTTTGTTTGTTAGTTCAAGGAACTGCACAATTAAAACAGCGAATTGATGAAATTTTGCAGAGAACCACTTCCATCGCAATGACAACATACCCAGACATAGTTGAAGGATATATCCACAAACAACAATTCGCCAGTTGATCTGGAAAATATTAGTTTTCTTTGATCATTTGGTAGCTAAGTATATACATATATGTATATAAACTGTTCTCACCTTTCTTCGATTATTTGAGAGTAATATGAGTATTGAAACAAAAAATGCTATTCCAGCAAGGCCATAGAGGCGAGATCTGTTTGCGCGGGTATCGAACACGAGGAATACAGCAAAGCATATTGCAACTGCACCGCATATTATTCTGAAAACGAAATGACTATACAAAATTTCCCATTTGAGCTATAGGTGGTTGAATTCACCGCAAATCAGCAAACATAGGGAAATTTGGTGGAGACAGCAACCTGCTGAAAAGCTTAACACTAGAGCTTATAGCATTTCCGAGGTAATCATCAGGTTAGCTATGTACAGAGTTCCCAAAAGCAAGTACTCACTTTTTGATCGTTATAACCAGGGTCAAGCGTAGGGTGTGGCATGCCACACCTGGGTGGTCGTATTGAGGAGTCATAAGGAGAGGGGATCTTAGTTGAATGATCTGATACTAGTGATAACATGATATTCGTATCATATCCATAATTAGCATGTCAATTAACCCTTTAGACAAAGTTTGAGCGAATTCTGAAGATTCAAGATACTAGGCTACCTAAGTGAAATGGTCATTTTCCAACATGGTCAACTTTGTTTCAAAGGTGAATTAGCTATCCGTTTTTGCACTAAGGACAAAACACTATTCCTTCTTTGTCTATCTTAGAAATCCCGCTTCAAAAGACCTCTAAACTGTGGAATTAGAAGCCAACCAAAATCTCATTTTTGCCATTTTCGCTTTTGATGGCTGTGTTCACCAATTATTACTCAGAGCTAACATCAAATATTACTCAGAGCTAAGAAGACGAATCGGGCTCAAAACCTTTCCGTGGAATCTACGAGGTTTAGGCCATCGATTCATATAGACATTGCATGCTAAAAATGTTTGATATAGTTAATGAGCAGTGGCGTGCCCAGGATTTCGGCTCGAGGGGGGACAAAAAATTTTTCTAATGAAGGTGCGTGGCGTCAGCCACGCCTTCCGAAAAACTTTTTGGGATGTTTTCCAAAATTTTTCCGGGCCCCTGATGCCCCCCCCCCTCGGTACGCCACTGTTAATGAGGTGTGGCACACCCCCCAATAAGCTGTGGCAGCCACACCTTTTAAAGAGTTGTGCACTATATCAAAAAAAAACCATTTTTAGCGAACAATGTTTATATGAGTCGATAGCCTAAATCTCGTAGATTTCAAATAGTGATTTGGGGCTAACTCGTCTTCTTAGCTTTGAGTAATATATGGTGAAAGCACAGCCATCAAAAGCAAAAATTCGGAAAAACGAGATCTTGTTTAGCTTCTAACTTCACAAAATGGAGATCATTTGAAGCGAGATCTGCGAAGTGGACACAAAGGAGTAGTGCTTTGTCTTGAGTGCAAAAACGGGCAGCTAATTCATCTTTGAAACAAAGTTAATCTTGTTGGAAAATGAGCATTTCACTTAGGTAACCTAGTATCTTGAATCTTCAGAATTCGCTCTAACTTTGTCTAAGGGGTCAATTGACATGCTAATTATGGATATGATACGAATATCATGTTACTACTAGTATCAGATTATCCAACTACGATCCCCTCTCCTTTTGACTCCTCAATACGACCCCCCAGGTGAGGCGTGCCACACCCTACGCTTGACCCTGGTTATAACTCTCTTCCCATTGAGCTGTTCTTAGCTTTGAGTGCCATTCAGTAGAGGAGGCTCAAACTTAGATTTACGAACTTTATTGAACGAACTACCCATCGCCCTTAAACACTGTATCGGTAGGAATTTTGTAAAGAGTTTTGAGCCGTCTAGCTGTAGTTAGGCTAAATTGAGTCGCTGATCATTGATATAAAGTTCGTATACGCTGCTGCATGACGAAGGCGCGACCTCTTTAGGCCTAAGGCATATCTCACGCGATTTCAGTCGCTGCACGATTTGGCACTGCAACGACTCTCCATAGCTGGTCGTTAACGCACTTTGCTTGGGCCAGACTTGCTGTGTTTGTTACAATTTACGGAATCTACGCACCCATACATCTGAGTGCCTCGCATGCGGCCGCCGCAGCTTTTGAGGGGGTGTGCCGCACCCCATTAACTATATCAAAAAAACATCTTTAGCTGACAGTACTTATACGAATTGATAGCCTAAACCTTGTAGATTCCATAGGACTGTTTGGAGCCTGATTTGTCTTCTTAGCTCTGAGTAATATTTGGTGAAAGACCAGCGATCAAAAGCGAAAAATGGGAAAAACGAGATTTTGGCTGGCTTCTGATTCCACAGTTTGGAGGTCTTCTGAAGCGGGATTCCTGAGGTGGACGAAAAAGGAGTAGTGCTTTGTCTTGAGTGCAAAAACGTGTAGCTAATTCACCTTTAATACAAAGTTAACCATGTTGGAATTTGACCATTTCACTTAGGTAGCCTAGTATCTTGAATCTTTAGAATTCGCTCACACTTTGTCTACAGGGGTTATTTGACATGCTAATTATGGATAGGATACGAATATCATGTTATCACTATTATCAGATTACCCAACTACGACTCCCTCCCCTTTTCACTCCTCAATACGACCCCCCAGGTGTGGCGTGCCGCACCCCACGCTTGACCCTGATCTCTAGACATCTGGCAAATCGCCAAGTCGCGAGGATGTAGCGATTTCGCGAATCACGAGAGGTATGCTCACGCGATTTGGCATTGGAACAACTGTTCATAATAGGTCGTCAAAGCGCTTTATTAAAGCAGGACTAGCTCGGTCTGCAACAAACGACAGAAGCTACGCGCCCATGCAATGGAGGACCACGATAAATTTGGAAACATCTGGCGAAGTATGCCTTAGACCTAAGACTTTTTTTTCAAGAGTCTGTCTTGTAAAACGCAACGACGTCTTTTCGTTATTTTTAAATCTTGATTGGACATTTTAAGCTCTTAAATACTCATGAATAGTTGTCTGATGAAGCCTGCATTTCTGAGAACATTGCTGCACGACCTTCCAGATTTTTCCAGGGAGTTTTTGTTCAAAGTGCCTATTTTCACAATGCCGCTGTACGGTGGAAGTTCCTACCGTAATCCTACAGTAACGAAAGATAGGTGATCCGCTCCATTCTGAAACCTAAGTTGAAGCCTCCTCTATTATTTTATTTGAAGCTAAGAAAAAAACTAAGTGGGAAGAGAGTTATCAAGATCAGAAAGTGGGTATTTACTTTTGGGACACCCTGTATGCATACATGTGTGGTCGGCTTCTCTTTCCTCCACCACCAACTAATTAGAACAACTATAATAAGACATAATGTTGTGGTGTGGCTCTGACTGGCCAAAAATGCGCTGCCTTTGGCCCGCGATAAACCCCGTCAAATCAGCTGATGTGGACTGAAACCCCTAATGTCACATTCGTTCAGCTGTGATTACGATCGCCCATCCTCCTATGCAGAGAGCCCACCTGACCATCCACCCACCCTTCCGACTTTGCCAAGCTGCCGTAAGTTGAGAATGGGTCGTAAGATCAACTGCCGTAGATAGTGTGCAAGAACGGAGAATTGGAAGTTCCCTAGGTTGCAGATGAGTAACTTACGGGACACGGAAGTCATAATATCAAGGACGATAGTACGCAAAACTATATACTCGGTGAGGACCTGCGGATGGACAAAAGAGATGAACAGGATTACAAAAAAGAAGTACTTATCCACTTTTTTCTCGCAGAATACTTTAATTTTTGATAAACTGTGCTCAATGAAATGTTATTTTCCAATACAATTTTTACCTTCTCTCCCTAACTCGTGTTATTCCTGTTTTTTCAACAGAGTTTTCAGTATTAGTCGACAGTGCAAATCAAGCCTCACAAAATAGCTCCTATTCGCTCAAAAATTGTTCCAATGTAAAAACATTCGAAGCCTGAATGTAAGAAGATCTACATGCTCGAAAGTTGAGAAGGATTCGTTTATTATTTGTTTAGAAAAGCACTGAAATGTTTCACCTACTTACTCAGGGATTCGCGCCGTGCGGGCGGTCCTCATTAAAGCCCCTCCGCCTGAGCGCACTGCATAGTTTTCGATGTACCGTGCGTGCGGTCAACAATAAAAATGCCGTGCAAGCGGGACGCAGTCTTCCCGTTCGATCGGCACGCAGTAAAATGGACCGTGCAAGCGGCAGGCAATGCGTCCGCACGATCGGCCAGCAATCACTTGACCGTACAAGCGGCAGGCAATCTCTCCGCGCAATCGGTACGCAATAAAATCGACCGTGCAAGCGGCAGGCAATGTGTCCGTCCGATCGGGCGGCAAACATTTGCCCGTGCAAGCGGCAGGCAATCTCGCCGCGCAACTAGTACGCAATAAAATCGACCGTGCAAGCGGCAGGCAATGTGTCCGTCCGATCGGGCGGCAAACATTTGCCCGTGCAAGCGGCAGGCAATCTCGCCACGCAACTAGTACGCAATAAAATGAGGGAGGCGCTGGACGACTTGAGGGAGGCGCTGGACGACTCTATGAATTCGATTGAAGCCTATGATCAAGAAAACCTGGTACCAGCGTCACAGTAATCCACGCATCAATTTATGTGATATATTTGTATTTGTATGTAAAATATATTAGAGCTTTTATATCACGGGTGGCCGTATAGGCTATCATTTTGAACCGTCTGAGAAATTCTGTTGTTTGTTAATGTCTGCACTGTTTTTTTGAAACAGTTAAATGAAGTGATTGCTGACTCTTACTGTATTCTTTGCAAAAAAATACTTGCAAATTTGCAATTTTCTCTATGGGGCACTGCAAGCGCACCGCTTTAGTCACGCAAGCAATAGGCAATCATGTCGTGCAAACGCCAAGCCTTATACCTGCAAACGGTAGGCAGTCGTACCGTGCGAGCGCCAAGCCTTACCCCTACAAACGGTAGGCAGCTCCACCGTGCGAGCGCCACCCCTTACCCACGCAAACGGAGGGCAGCCGTACCGTGCCATCGCTACAACGTAAATGCGCAAACGGTAGGCAATAGCGTCGTGCAAGCGCCACACCTTACCCTTGCAATCGGACCTTCACCACCGTACAATCGCACATGCCAACGAGCGATTGTAGCGGCACTGCAGACCGCCCGTGCGGTGCGAGTCCCTGAGTATGCATGCTCTCTAATCTGGTAACTACCGTAGATTTTCTTATTTTTTCCATGGCTAAAAAAAAGAGAAACAAGTATGCAAAAGT